ATGAGCTGTTTGTTATCTTTCTTTGCATAATCATGAACTCGAGTCTTAACTTTGCGCTTTATTGATATGTGATGTGGCAGCAAATGTTTGGTCCACCAGCCTTCTGTTTCTTCAACGTTGGCCCCGGGACAACTGAATCTAAACGCATTCCGGATATTTGAAATTTCCTTGATAATTACATATATATATATATATATATATATATATATATATACATTACATATCGTACACACAAAATATAGATATGGATATGAAAACTAAGACGACAAAATGAAGTTAATTTCTGCACATTTCACGGTGCGTACAAGCGCCGCCGTCACATAGCGTACTGCAATGGTTTGGACAGAAATAAACTTTCAAAAAATATTTTGGTTTTACCGGGACTCGAATGCTTCTGTGTTTTTAACATTAATCTGATAGACATTCGGTATGCAGCAGTTCACCTGCCGGTCTGTTTCCATTGAATTTGTGGCATCCGGCAATTTTATATGTGTTTATACAGGTCCATAAATCTGCACAATGCATTTGACATGCCACTTGATGTTCCCAGTAACCTGTTGACCACCGGATACTGGACGTGCGCTAGTGCCGCGCGGCAAACGGCTGCCTTTCCTGTTGGAGGCGGCCCAACCAGGTGGTTGGTTCCGTAGATTTGCTCAAGCTGGCTAAACGTCCAACGGGCTCAAGTAGGTGGCAAATCCTGTCCATTTTCTGGATGATAGCGTGATGGTAAATGGACAACGGTAAACGTGGTCGTGCTCCTGAACATCGCTGAAACCCATCTATTGGAATATAATTCGTCAGAGTCCGATCACTGTGAGCTTGATTAGTATTGATCGGCGGAAGAGGGGCAGCGCAGAGCGGCGCCTCTTCTCCGAGTATCGGGCCGCCGTATCCCGCCAGTTGAGCGCGTCGGCAGCGTTCGATCCGCTGCTCCACTCGAGTGAGAGCCGAAGGCTGGCGGGCGGCGCGGGCGCTGGAGCCGGCCGCCGTCGGGCGCGGCGCGCGGGAGCCGGGCATGTCGGGCGCGACGCGCGGGAGCCGGCCGTCGGACGCGGCGCGCGGGAGCCGGCCGCCGTCGGACGCGGCGCGCGGGAGCCGGCCGTGCCGGACGCGGCGCGCGGGAGCCGGCCGCCGTCGGACGCGGCGCGCGGGAGCCGGCCGCCGTCGGACGCGGCGCGCGGGAGCCGGCCGTGTCGGATGCGGCGCGCGGGAGCCCCGCCGTCGGACGCGGCGCGCGGGAGCCCCGCCGTCGGACGCCGGGGGCGAGCGACGGCCGTCCGCCACCGGGCCGCCGGCAGCCCGCTCATCACTCACCTTCGCCGTACATGACGCTGGGCTGCCGGTCTCGGTAGCGGCCCGTGTAGCCGGGCACCGGCAGCTCGGACCGCTGGGAGCCGGCGCTCGACGGCAGCGACATCACGTTGCGGAGCGGCAGCTTGTCCGAGGGCACGGACATGGTCTCGCTGCGCGACACACGGCAGGGCGCGGCGCTGCACCGTCTGGCTGGCCACTGGCACGCTCCGGCCCGGTCGGGGAGAGCGGGACCACTCGCCGCGACCCGCCCAGGACCAGACGTTACGCCACGCTGGCGGTCGATGGCCCAGCATCGATCCTCCACGCCCGGTCGCTGGCTACTGCCCATCTGTGACGCGTGTATTTGGCCACGCCATTCTACTGACGTAGCGAGGGGTCGCTTCGGCCGCCACCGAACCCCTTTTGTGTTACGAGCTCGACGAAATGGAAGTTGCGCCGTGCGTCGCCAACGGCTTCCGCCAACGGCCGCAAACTTAGCCGCCACCGATGAGGACGGGTGGCCGTTGGCCGATATAGCAGCCGTCGCCTCTGGAAACCGCTGCACCCCAATGCACACATTGTCCTCAATTCCAACGCAAGCGCCGCGCTGGTAGCCGCATAAATCATGCCGCAACCGATCTGGGTTGTTCGCCATGCAGCTGGACTACACCAGACCCAATCGCGCACTCTCATCGCTTCAACCGCACCGTCAGACCCCCGCCCCACGCTCGCGCCAGTCCAGAACTCACCGTGGCCTGTAGACTTGATGCTTTGCATAGCGGCGTTCGCGGCGCCCGGTCTCACTGGCCCGGTCGGCAGCACATCCGTTACTGGCCCGCTCGGCACGCACACGTGCATGCCACACAAAGCCGGGCGAGGCCGGCTATTTGGAGCCAGGTGTCACGCCGGCGTCCGCGCAAGAGCATTGATTATGGACGGGCGGCGCACCCGGTCGATCCAGAGACACCCCTCCTCTTCGTGTAGTCAAACACCCGGTCTGGAGTCGGTATAGTCACGCGGAAACGGCGGCCACCCTGCTCGGCTCGCCACGCCGAGAGCAGTGGCTGGCTCTACATGGCTGGACCGCCCACAGTCCCATGTAGTCCCATGCCCCATGTCCCATGTCCCATAATGGTGACATTCTCATTAAGTAGACATTCCCATTAAGTTGACATACCCATGATGTTGACATTCCTGTGATGTTGACATTCTCCTGTTGTTGACATTCGCACTGACACCAAGTTGGTGTCCTAATGGGTCAGATGATCCTGATAAACGCAGGCTTGCTATCGTGTAAACGTAGGCTCGATAGCGCGAAAACGTCCAACGCTTCTAAAAATAGGTACTAAAAATAGTCGGCCACAATCATCGTCCCCGGGGCAGCGGATGCTTGTTTTCGACCACTTATTGAGGGTGATTGAGGTGCGCAGCATGTCATGATACTCCGCGTGCGATCCTAGGGTCGCTAGTATATTATTTTTGTCATGTTATGGCGTGTTGTGGACTGGAAAAACTACCATGAAGTCAGCTAGCGAGGACTGTGTTTCATTTAAAGGATAGATGATAATTTTGTCTCATGGCGGTTATTCCTCAATAACCTATATATAGATGGGTGGGAAAGGCTATTCGGTAATGAGACATCCAAAACAGGGGGAAAGAGAGAGTAGTTCGGGCGGGGGGGGGGGGAGGAAAAGAGAGGAGCAAGCAGAAGGATAGAGTTACTAAACAACCAGCGTTTGCTCGAAGCACTCATAACAAAGACATCCCAGCAATAGTCAAGTGCCACCGATTGCTATCACAATTTTGATAAAACTTGCATATATTTACGGTTTTGCGCGATGATTGAGGCGAGACATATGTGGCACGATTGGGATCATTTTTCGGACTGTCTTTCTCCACTGGCGTGTTGGTATTTATGTGCACGCCATCTCGGCCAGTTAATTATCCGGACGTCGTCAGGTGTTATGGCGTCATTAGAAGCGCTGGGCGATGTTTCCGTCCTTCCCTTTCATCTTTGGAAAGATAGTAACTTACTAAGACTAAGAGTAACTTACTAACTTACTAAGTAACTAACTAAAAAGAGAGTAACTAGACTTGCTGAAACATCATTCAATCAATCATTCTAAAAAGTCCACAACACATGCTGGCGGCCGGAGAGTTCACTGGCTGAAAACTTGTGTACATACTAACATACCAGACGAGGCCGCTTATTCAACAACGATCCAATTCGTGCTGCATATATTCACTGTTTTTAAGTTTTCTCGCTTTGCATGGTGAGCTGGGGCAGTATGGGCATCAGTTGTAGAAAACGCCAGATTCATGGGACACTTTTGTGGGGTCGGGAATCCATTCCTGGAATCCAGGCGCATGTCTGGTGCCGACATCGAGGATCTTCTTGGTCACCAGCATGAAGCAATGTCGATACCAAAGGCTCGGAATACACCCCTAGGGCATCCTGCCCAATCATGGATGCACGTTTTCCCAGGATGTGGGAAAAGCATGCTTGTTGCGTGCGCTTGCTTTTTACAATAATATGATATGCACACCCTAGTAATACAATAATGAAGACGGAGTAAATTATCAGTCATCGATATATATATATATATATATATATATACATATATATACATATATATATACACATATATATATACATATATATATATATATATATATGTATATACATATATATATATACATATATATATATATATATATATATATATATATATATATATTAACGAGATTAGTTTCCCGCTGAATGAGTAAGTGCACATTGAACACCAAGGGTGTAGCATGCCCGGTCCAGCCAAGAGTCCCAGTTGTTGCAGTATTTTTCAGGATTCCTCGAAATTAAATACCACGTGAGTGAAGCGGACAGCAAGGGTGCTCCAACGGTAGGCATGGAAACTCGTCGGGTATTGTTACAGAAAATATTTAAATGTCATTTTGATTCGTCACCTTCCTTGCACTGCCGCAGACATAATATGGTTCTTTCCACTCGTACTGAGCGCCCAGCGATATATTTCCCGACCCATGGTCAAATGTAACAAAGGGAAATCCCACTTGCCGACTTATAATCCGTCTCCAGCTCAATTTCTGTAATGGTGTGAAGTTCAGAGAAATACTCCCTGTTGTGCCAGTGGTGCCAACACTGTCTACGAGCAGAATCAAAGCGGGTCTTATATCGATACTTTTGCTAACGACGTTTCGTCGCTTGGCAGTTCCCAGGACTGACCAGGATCAATAAAGGCTCCAAACCCATGGTCTGAGTGAAGTGCTCAATGGAAATTGTTGACACCTCCCAAATGCAAAACATATCGCATAATCCCAACCGTTTCCCGTCAACCCATAGCCGGGCCGCTTTTTGAGAGCGTGGCCCACTCTTGGCCGTTTGCCAGTTTGATGCATTTGGCGGTTGAAATAGCGGCGCCGCCTTCGGGAAACTGATTTCATAGTTTGACATGCCAGTGGTCAGATGGCCAACATTCCCGCAACCTCAACTGCGAAAGTAGCCCAGTGGCCCATGGGCCGCCGGCTGACTGGTGCAGATAAAAATACGGACTATCAAATTAAATAGCTTGCTATCATTAGCTGCCTCCTCCATTACTATGCTTGCCCTTATGGAGACTGGACAGTGGACACTGTGACACCTCCCGCAGTCCTTCCTGATCCGGGTAGCAGGCGCCTCGGGCCGTCCGTACCTTGCGTCTGACCTCCGAACTGCACCGCCGACATGGACTCGCTGGTGACCATGGGCGCTCGCGACGAGGGCGACGCGTCGCTGTCCCCGAGCGCCGTCTGGTGCCCCGAGGACTTCGCCTCCAGCTCCTCCTTGAATGGCTCCGGCGAGACGCTGCTCACCATCTGGCGTCACCTCTGCGGAGGGGCACGGGGCAGTCAGTGGAGCGTGAGGAGACTGCTCGCCGTCTGGCGTCACCTCTACGGAGGGGCACGGGGCAGTCAGTGGAGTGTGAGGAGACTGCTCACCATCTGGCGTCACCTCTGCGGAGGGGCACGCGGCAGTCAGTGGAGTGTGAGGAGACTGCTCGCCGTCTGGCGTCACCTCTGCGGAGGGGCACGGGGCAGTCAGTGGAGTGTGAGGAGACTGCTCACCATCTGGCGTCACCTCTGCGGAGGGGCACGCGGCAGTCAGTGGAGCGTGAGGAGACTGCTCACCATCTGGCGTCACCTCTGCGGAGGGGCACGCGGCAGTCAGTGGAGTGTGAGGAGACTGCTCGCCCTCTGGCGTCACCTCTGCGGAGGGGCACGGGGCAGTCAGTGGAGCGTGAGGAGACTGCTCGCCCTCTGGCGTCACCTCTGCGGAGGGGCGCGCGGCAGTCAGTGGAGTGTGAGGAGACTGCTCACCATCTAGCGTCACCTCTGCGGAGGGGCACGCGGCAGTCAGTGGAGCGTGAGGAGACTGCTCGCCGTCTGGCGTCACCTCTACGGAGGGGCACGCGGTAGTCAGTGGAGCGTGAGGAGACTGCTCACCATCTGGCGTCACCTCTGCGGAGGGGCACGCGGCAGTCAGTGGAGTGTGAGGAGACTGCTCGCCCTCTGGCGTCACCTCTGCGGAGGGGCACGGGGCAGTCAGTGGAGCGTGAGGAGACTGCTCGCCGTCTGGCGTCACCTCTACGGAGGGGCACGGGGCAGTCAGTGGAGCGTGAGGAGACTGCTCACCATCTGGCGTCACCTCTGCGGAGGGGCACGCGGCAGTCAGTGGAGTGTGAGGAGACTGCTCACCATCTGGCGTCACCTCTGCGGAGGGGCACGCAGCAGTCAGTGGAGTGTGAGGAGACTGCTCACCATCTGGCGTCACCTCTGCGGAGGGGCACGCGGCAGTCAGTGGAGTGTGAGGAGACTACTCGCCGTCTGGCGTTACCTGTGCGGTGAGGTATCCGACAGTCGACGATGTGCACAAAAGGCATGGCCCGCGCAGCGAGGAATGAGTCGGCCTCCGTCTGCGCCTCAAAAAAGCGATGCAAGCATATGAAGCATTATCCACGAAAAAGCAGAACAAAATGTAATGACATATTGCGCAAACTTCGCCAGTCCAAAAACACGACTCGATACCAGTTGCCGTTCAGAAGCATGGTCTATCACCAATATCGGGTTGCCTGGACTGCTATCGCTAGTGACCATTTGAAAACACCGCAGACGAGTCACGTCACGTCACGTCTGAGAGCGTCACGGTCTGAGAGCGTCACGTCACGGTCTGATGAACAGTACTCAAGCGGGTCAGCACAACGTTCCAGCCCGAGTCAGCTCTCCGAGTCAGAGTCCCTCCAGCGAGTCAGACGGCAAATGCTCGTCCACGAGACGGATCTGCCGACTGCCGGGGAGGCATGGACGATGGGTCGATATCCTGTACTCCTGACGGTCCGCCCAGGCCAGGGCATGATTTCGAGTCCATCACCACGGGTAATGACGCCTAAAGCAAGCGTGCATTGCCGGCCTCCAGCTATGGACAATGACGACTTTTTGGGATCACGATGCACCTGAATGTAGCTGCATCCCAACATTTCGGATTATTGGCATTGGGTCTTTGCGTTGCATGCACCGAACAGACGCCCAACACCCCTCGGATTTCACAACGTTTTTGGCAAGGTCCGGCGTGTATCGCCATTGTACCCGAATCTCTCTGCTTCAACTGTGACCGAGTTATGCATAGGTGACGTCTTTCGTTCATTTTAGTTGGATGGAGGGGTGGGGCTCAAATTTTCTCTCCATCTCTCCTCAAACCGGTCCCGAAAACTTTGTTCCAACTCTTCAAATTTTACTACGAAGAGCAAAAAGATAATGCATGTTCAGTTTGGAGAGAATTTCACCGCATGGCCCGCACCAGAACTGAGAGCTGGTTCGTCAAAAGTACGGGCCACCTCCTCACTGTCTTACAGGTACAGCACGGTGTGGTTTGGTCTGCCGGCCATTAAAATCGCGACTTTTCGATTAAAGTTTTATCGACTTTGGACACGAACAGCTGGGATGTGCTTCTACCCTTGCGTGACTGCTGTTAAAATGCATTATTTATTCCCCTAGAGTATTCGGTCCTGGAAAGCGTCTCAAGAGTTGCCTTATGCGGCTGATCCGGCCTGCTTCCACCTTTACAAACCTTCCAGTTTTTTGTGCGCTCATTACGAATACCGAACTTCCTGGCCATTAGTATATTAGCAGGGAATCCGTGAGAAGACGGCGTAAGTTTGCGTTAAAGGCGGTGACCACCTTCATTTCACGGTGACATCGTGTGTCGTCGTACTTCACAAATGTGCCACACATCCTGCGTGGACTCAGTGCGCCAAGCTCACTTTCCAGTGCTGCGCTTTCATGCAGTGCTAGCGAGAGAATGGGTTGGCACGGCCCGCCGCAATGTCCATGCTCGTTAGCTTTTTCTGTCAAGGTCATCGCCACAAAATTATTTGGGGATAAGATGACTACCCGTTCATGGTATAAGTGGGTACATCAGGCTACCTCAAGCCCGGACACGTACTTGCATGGTTTATTGCATCGTTTTGATCCATTCCGCCTGCACCACAATGACCTTACAAAGTAAGCATGCAGAGGCAATCTCTGGGATTATTGGGTCATCAACTACCATGTAATCACATCAGCTCGAAATAGATGCTCCCAGAACAACCCGAGCCAGAATGTTAATTTTCCACCGGGAGGCAGCCTTTAAAACCCGAACCCATTACGGTAAATTAGCAGCCAATGAATGCATCGCTAATAAGTTTCAGCATTTGCAGCGAATCGTTTCATAGGGCAGTTTTATTTGACTTATTTCCACTTGCAGCTTGTACCAAAGTACCACTAGCTAAACATGTCTGGGCATAACAAAATCATCGGGCGACACGGGACCAGTGCCTGTGACAAAAAGCACAGACTGCGCACAGAGCATGTTGCTAAAATCTAAGCATGGCTGACGCGCATATGGCTTCATGCTTTGAACGTGCTTTTACCATGCATCAACGCATAATTGTTAAGTTTTCCGATGATGAGGAACAGGGAACCGCTTTGTTCTACAGCGATGTGGTGCAGTTGCCCCCTGCATACCGCAGTCCAGCGTCCTTGCACGAATGCCATGTTTTCAAATGAATGTGTAAGAAGTTGATCTGTGCGGCCTGACCCATGCCGTTCGTGCCTCTGAGCCGTCCTCCCTGGTGCACCTCTCCGTGCGTTCGCCTCTCTAGAAACGTGAGAACGGCCAGCTGGCGCGATGCCGCGTTGAACCGGCCCGTGCCAGCCGGCCGAAGGTTCGTTGACGCACGCCCGTCGCGCCGGAATTTACGGCGAACGAAGTAAGTGCAAAAAGATATGTATGTTCGCCTTTATGGTATTGGCTTTGTGTCTCAAGTGCGCTTATGAAACTCGACAATGGGATAATGTCCGCAATTTTGTCTATGCCATAACATATGGTGTCGCAAAATCAGCTACACCAAAAGCCTGTCAAATCGAAAGCGAATACCACAGATCACATAACCTTTGTCAAGCGACATGTTTGCGATGTTATCAAGGCTGTAGCCCGCCTTTGTCCTACGGCCGCGCCGCAATGCTGTTAAGCAATGCGGGTTAGCATAACAGGCCGGCGAGATCTGAGACGGGCCTTTGGGCCGCAAACGTTCTGAGCGCCATTGGGGTGAGCCGTTTCAGGAGTGCACACGATTTGCAGATGAATAACGACAAATAAATCCCGATGAAAAGCTGGCGCGGATCAAGAGCACAGTCGTGTTCAGGTTGCTCCTTCTCCTTTTATATAATTACTTTATCAAATGCTTTTTATTAGATCTACACTTAAGAAAGATCAATTTTAATTGACATGTTTTTATCCATGTTCGCGCTGAGCAGAGCTTGCGTATAAACCTAATCTTACTATCAGATCACGCAATTCAGTTTCAACGACAGACTTTTGCAAACAAATTTTCCGCGACACGATCATCTGGGCGGAGGATCCACTCCGCCCCCTGACTTCACCGGACACCGAGTGCTCGCTGTTGGCCGCAAGCAATCCCAGCCATAACAAAATAGCAAGCGCCGAAGCGACTCGAGCCCATATACCATTTCTACGAGTGCGAACCTCTTTGAGCCCAAACAACTGTCAAGCAAGCTCCGTTGATGAAATCCACCCACCACCTGACTTTCAAAGTGAAGAGAGTATAGTATGACTTATTCCACGCTGCCTCGTGGGGTAAGGCAGATGCTGCAGGGCAGTTGATTGGGCGCGGCCTTCATTACTCCCTTGTTAGCACCTCACTTAAATGCTATTGTTAGCTACCTCACTTAAATCAGTTATGTCAAGCGCGTTGAGCTTGATATGATTGCAGGAAAAAAGTTCGTATCAAGTTTGTTCGCAATGCCTGTCTTGCAAATTTGTCGGTCTGTCCTACGGCCTGTCCAACAGGCAAATGCTCGTGAGGGCGTTTTTCGTAAACGCAAAACGTCGTAAGGAAAAACCTTTGCAACGCGGAACTGTTCATCCGAAACGCCTAACAAATGCTCGGGGGGGGGGGGGGCAGGGCGGTCAAATTGACCCTCCAAAGGTTTTTCCAGAATGGTTTCCAATTTTCCGGAATGGTTTTCCAGAATTTGTCATTGCTGTAGCCAATCGAATAGCGGATTGTTTGACATACAAATTAAGATGTGCCTTGTAGGGTCGCTGACCTACGACAAGATCAAAGTCAGGTTATGGTTTCAGCGAAGGCAATTTCTGGGGAATCGTTCAATCTGATACAATAACGGAATGGTTGATGAAGTCATAATCTCCGAGATGCTTTTTTAGGCATCACAAATATCTTAGCTATATGGGATAGTTTGTGGTGCTCATTTTTAGTTGAATGACGGCAGAAACCGCACTATACACATTCCATTGACTTCTTTGAGGT